TTTGGGGAGGGGGCGGGGTGAGGGAAGTCGTGCACGTCCCTGATGGTAGCAGCCCTCCTCCAGCACGAGCACAGAATGTCTAGCCGGCCGTGAACACCCCCACCGGCACCCCCCCTTTCCCGTGCATGCGCGGTGCGGGCTGGGGGGAAGGCGCGCCACCGGCTTGCGCAGGCACGGAACCTGATCGAGCCTCCAAGAGGGCGAGCAAGGAAAGGGTTAATCCGGGGCTTTGAGGACGCTTTCGTTGAAAGCTGAGGGGCCGCCCCCGTAAAGCCCTAGCCTGCGCACGCGCGCGCACGCGCGCGGCTTGAGGCGCGCGGAGCCCGCGCGCGGGAGAAGTAGTGGGCGGGGCTTCAGGAGAAGACGAGCGGATGCACGAGCGCCATCGCGGGCACCCGCTCCCAAGCGAGCTCCCGCCTCCCGCTCGCTCGCTTTGGCTCCTTCTAGTGCCTGGCGCGGAAGGCTCGAGGTGCGGATTCGCGCAACCGGCCGAAGCCCAGCGCCAGTGACGCAGGGCCCGGCGATCCCGTGCGTGTGCATGTGCGTGGATGTCTCCTCCGTGCGCGCTGGGGCTCGACCTGGGCGCGCGCAAACAGGACCCCGTAGCCGCGTGGCTCCGCTACGGCTAGTGGGGCGGGCTAGCAGTTCGTAGGCACCCTCTGTGCACAACGGCTGACTATGCGACCCGCGCTTGTAGGCGCACGGTCTTAGTTTGGCTGTGGCAACATTTTATCCAGGGAATCGTAGGCACTCAGTAAACCTTTTTAGAATAATGTAAAGGTGCTATTTCGCCTTTGTAGTGCAAGGGGCGAGCCCAGCCCGTCCTTAAATCCTCGATTTTATCTAGACACTCAGAAATGTGATAGGGCTAGCTTTGGTAGCCTAACTCTGGCAGTTTTAGGCCGGAATAAGATTTTATTTTATTTTTATTGTGATTTGGATGAAAATTTACAGAGCAAATTCACTTTCCATACAGCAGTTCACATGCACTTGGTCTCATGTCATTGACCACAATTTATCACAATGCAACATCTCCCCTCATACTTCCTCCCAATAGTTACCTCTTTCTTGTGTCCATCCCTCCATGTACTCCTA